GGTCATATCGATTCCGTTGAATTGTTGACTTATTGGAACTGTGTGGTGTTATTTTATTGCATATCGATTACCCGCGTTCTTAACAGTGTGCGGTGCATTGTGGGAGGCAATTCCCCGTGTTAGTTTGAGATCTACGTACAACTGTATGGTTGTAGTACCGAATGAACACACGCTTATGGCAAGATGTTATGATATTAGCCCATTTACGCATATTTTTGCATGTTCACCTTTACACGGATATATAACATACATAAATATACAAATAAAATGTATAAATAACAGACTAATAACGAACATATAAACACGCAACACGAACTCACTACTACGGCAAATGTGCCTCTCCACTATCAGCAGGCGCATACCTCACTGAGATATGCCCTCACCCGCAGAGACAGCTCAGAATACCGTGAAACGAACGCGGACATAGAGCGATTAGATGGACATGCGATGGACAAGTCGAATATCTTACGTCACAAACATGCACAATGTATTTGTGGTGCATACATGGTAATGTACCAAAAACCTCACCTGGTGCCCATTGAGATATGTTCATGCATTCCGCTTATAACGTAATACTTATTAATAATTTTTACATGATGTGGATTGGGTTTGCCGGCACATCAGTGGCCATCCAGATTTCTCGTAATCGGGAAAAGTCGAGAGGGCGCTGTATACTTATACCAATCGACTGTCATAGAGTTGATATGCCATGTGTGCATTATTTCTCCTCAATATATAGGTCACGCAGCTGTTTAACTGATGGTTATGGAAATTAACGTAAACTTTGCAAATAACGGTAAAATACAATACACATGCATTGTTATTGTGTACACATATTCATGCACAGGGACATTGTTTATTTTGGTATTCATTCTGTGACGTCACCGTCATCGACGGGTTATCCACTGACTGCTTTTATATTTATAAAAAACGAAATTATTTTCTTATGCTTCTCTCTCAGGTTCATTTTATGACAATATTTCGAATTAATGTTCTCTCATTTAACGTGCAATTTGTTTTTTCCCTTCAAATCACAGGATTTCGACGAATTATGTATCTCTAAGAAGTTGTCTTTACGAATAGTTTCATTAATTTTTCGTAAAAAAAAACTGAAGCTCTCAATCTTGTTCTGAAAAATTATATATTTACATTCTATACGTTTAATTCATCCGATGTCAGTTTGATCAACAATGTTAATTTTGACTTATTCAAAACGGAAGTAGATTTATTTCGGTATCATGTATGCAATTCGAACACCTTTGGAATTACAATCAGTATTTTTTATTTCCTGATATATTTAAAATTCAGTATTAATTTTAAGTTCTTCTAAACCCTGAACCGATTCAGCAAGCACCCCCCCTCCCCAGAGGGCCATGTTTCACAAGCAATATCTGATGATGTATCACAAAATACAGTTGTTAAAGCGGGAGG